CTATTAATTACCCACCTGATGCTCTGCAGGTGAATGCTTCTGGCTCCAAGAGGGCTGTGTTGTGCCAAACAAATCTGGCTGTGAAGCATCTCAAGCTAATTTAGCTCTTGACAGAGTTCACAGAAAGTTTGTTCTTCATTGCACAAAAATAAATAGGAAAATGAAGCAAAATCCATTTGCATAAGCCACTAGGAAGCAAACATCTGCCAAATGCTTTAGCAGAAGGTGTTTTATGTGGGACTGAAAAATCAACAGGAGTGCAGGATGTGGCTGTGCATGTTCTCTGCCAGTGTAAATATGAAGGAAGCCAGTTCTAGATGTGTACTACGGCTGTGCGTTGCAAACATGGCCCTGCTTCAGTCAGTTCCTACAGCTGCTTTTCTCCCTTCGTGAACGTTACAGACCAGGTGGTTGTGTGCAGTGTCTGTTCTGCGTACCTGCAGGTTGAGTGTCTGCCAATCCTGCAGCATTCTTCCAGCAGGCACTGAATTCAAGTACAAAACAAGAGAGCTTCTGAGAAATGTTGGGTACTCCAGCACTTCTAACTGAGCGCAGAAGCTGCTCCTCCCAATTCCTTTGAGTGCTCTTTTGAAGTCCAGCTCTTATATCAGCACATAGATAATTAAATGAAGGTAAATTAATGTGACGTGAATGGACGCTGCTCCAGTATGCACTGCAGCCACAAGAACAGTTGGAAGGTAAAGGATGTCCTGTATTTTCCAAGCCAAACCTATACGGCAATGCAAGTTGTTTTATATGGCCATTTTCCACAGCTTTCTCTAAGTCTTATTTTAAGCACCAAAAAACGGCCCTTTCACAGGCGTTGTAGAGGCTGTTCTGCAGTCTAACAAATGGCAATTTCATTGCCTTGTGTGTTGTCCACCAGGTTCTAGGGGGAAGCTAGCCCCTTGATCCCCTGCTTTGGCATTGTGCCTTATCCCCATTTTACAAATTCCCAAGATGGCTAGAGGCTGCATCACTTGCTGAAAGCTGCACGACTTGACTGGATGGGCCTTAAGTAAAAGTAAAATCTAGTTCTTCCATCAATAGCTGACATGGTGAATTAGGTACGTATGATTTTAATGTTGTTTTGATTCCATAGGCTGCTAACATTTATTGGTTATTTCATGCTGAGGGAAATGACCTCAGAGAAGCTGGTTTCTTCAGTCAGCCTGATTACTCTAATGCTGTATGACATCTAAGGAGGATGTTGGCAAAAAGGACTTCTGGCACTAAATTAGCTCCCCTCTCCAGCGTATCTTTTCCTGTGGCCACATACTTGATAATTGTATTCTCTGGATCTTTCTCCTAAACGCTGTGTTATGACCGAGTCAAGAGGTGAAAGCATTAGCATGATGGTTTAATCTCAGCTGGTTTATTCCTAGATTGATTTCTAGGACTGCATTTCAGTAGAAATTTAAGTAGAGAAACGGTTCCCTTGTACGTCCTGCCAAGGCTGTTTCATGGGAGATTCATCCTACAAAACGCCAGTAGATTGCCTGAGAGATAAGGAAATTATGATATTCTAGCAATATTTCTACAGGTAAGTGCTTTTATTTTCTTTCTTTTCCTTGTGAGCCACTTGATATTTAAAGATAGCATTGGATTAGGTGCCTAATTCCCAATGCCTTCTGGACATGTATCTTTCTGGGCAGGCAAGCATGTGAATGCATTTACCAGTGTGTATTGGACTTCTAATGTGTATGGGGCACAGGAAAAGTAAATCTTTTAGGATGTCAGTGTAATGATGCATGACTGGTGTGTACTACGAGGTACAGAGATATTGACCACAAGAGGGCATATGTGCTCCACACTTAATACCTTTGGCTGTTTGTTGAAAACTTGCCTGCAAACACCCCTCTATTTTGTCAGAGACCAGGACCACCAGTATTTGAGAGAAGCATTTGGATCACCTTCTT